TTTTAATGTCCCGCCCGCCCGACCCGACCCGCCCGCCCGACCCGACCCGCCCGTTAGGGTCCGCCCGCCCGACCCGCCCGATAGGGTCCGCCCCGTCCCGCCCCGCCCGTGAGAGTTCTTATATGTCATGCAGTATACGCATCCGACTTTAGTGTCCCACCCGCCCGACCCGACCCGCCCGTTAGGGCCCGCCCGCCCGACCCGCCCGACCCGCCAGTTAGGGTCCGCCCGCCCGACCCGACCCGGCCCGACACGCCCGTTAGGGTTCTCGCGTGTGGGCTCGATCACGCACCGCACTTCAATGTCCGCCCGCCCGACCCGACCCGCCCGGTAGGGTCCGCCCGCCCGACCCGACCCGACCCGCCCGTTAGGGTCCGCCCGCCCGACAAGGCCCGACCCGACACGCCCGTAAGGATTCTCGCGCGCGTTCGATCATGCACCACACTTTAATGCCCCGCCCGACCCGACCCGACCGTTACGGCCCGCTCGCCCGACCCGACCCGACCCGCCCGCAAGGGCCCGCCCGCCCGACCCGACCCGACTCGACCCGCCCGTTAGGGCTCTCGCGTGTGACTTCGATCACGCAGCACACTTTAATGCCCCGCCCGCCCGACCCGACCCGCCCGTCAGGGTCCGCCCGCCCGACCCGACCCGACCCGCCGGGTAGGACCCGCCCGCCCGACTCGGCCCGACCCGGCCCGCCCGTTAGGGTTCCCGCGTGTGGGCTCGATCATGCACGATACGTTAATGTCCCGCCCGCCCGACCCGCCCGTTAGGGTCCGCCCGCCCGACCCGACCCGACCCGCCCGCTAGGGCCCGCACGCCCGACCTGACCCGCCCGTTAGGGCTCTCGCGTGCGACTTCGATCACGCACCACACATTAATGTCCCACCCGTCCGACCCGACCCGCCCGTTCAGGGTCCGCCCGCCCGACCCGACCCGACCCGCTCGTTAGGGCCCGCCCGCCCGACCAGACCCGCCCCGCCCCGCCCGTTAGGTTCTCGCGCGTGGGCTCGATCACGCACCACACTTTAATGTCCCGCCAGCCCAACCCGACCCGCCCGTCAGGGCCCGCCCGCCCGACCCGACCCGACCCGACCCGTTAGGGTCCGCCCGCCCGATCCGACCCGACCCGCCCGTTAGGGTTCTCGCGTGTGGGCTCGATCACGCACCGCACTTTAACGTCCCGCCCGCCCGACCCGACCTGCCCGTTAGGACCCGCCCGCCCGACCCGACCCGACCCGCCCATTAGGGCCCGCCCGCCCGACCCGGCCCGGGCTGACCCGACCGTTAGGGTTCCCGCGTGTGGGCTCGAACATGCACCATACTTTTATGCCCCGCCAGCCCGACCCGACCCACCCGTTAGGACCCGCCCGCCCGACCCGACCCGACCCGCCCGTTAGGGTCCGCCCGCCCGACCCGACCCGCCCCGCCCGTTAGGGTTCTCGCGTGTGGTCGATCACGCACGCACTTTAATGTCCCGCCCGCCCGACCCGACCCGATCCGTCAGCCCGACCCGACCAGAGACCCGACCCGA